TGCAGGAGGGAGGAACACCCAGAGCTCCTTCCCTCCGCCCCCGCAACCTTCTCTTGCCTTTTTTTATTATTTCTATATTTATAAAAGCAGATTATTTATTTTGTTAAAGAGCGAAAATGTCGTCCTTTGCACAAGGTAAGCCGACGTGCTCTGCGGTTTCCTGACTCTTCAGCCGTGTTTGTGTGCATGTCTTTATTTTTTCCCCTTTCTTTCTGATTTTTTTTTTCCACTCTTCCCTGCACCAGGAGGACAGCAGATTGCTGGGGCACTGAGGGGTGTCTCTGGCTGAGCAGCAGCTGAGTTAAGCTCTGCAAGGTTTCTTTTTTAAGCAACTTATTTATTTTTGCTGTCTGTTTGCCAGCAGCGAAACCAGGCTGAGGCAGTTGTAGCTGCAGGGCTCGGATCTACGGACCAGAGCTGGGATATACGGAGGGAGCCTGTGCTGAGCAGCCTTGTAACGTATGGGAAGAGCTTGGGTGGCTGCACTCTTTTTTTTTTTCAGGGGAATGGGTGTATTTGGGCATGTTCTCATCCCGGTAGACTCTGGTAATCTCGTTTTCGATGTGTGTGTGTACACGTACGTGGTCTGAGTTTCAGATTCCTCTGTTGCGAAATGGGGAGCCAGCCCACAAGAGGTCATTTCAGGAAGAAAAATGACTTTGGTGCATTGCTGTGGCAATTTTCTTTCCCTCCTTTTGGTTATTCTTAATGGGGGGTGTGTGTGTGCGTGCGTTTCTGTAATGAATTCCATGCCTGTGGGGTTTTGTTTTAGTAATATCTCTCTAAATCAATGCAGGCCTATCAACAAACGTAACCCTGCCTATGGACAGAACAGTGTACATAAACAGCTCTCCTGCTCTGTGCACTTTGGAAAGCTTTGGAAAACTGCTGTCACTACCTGGCTGGGTGTCCAGGGCTGCACGACACTTGCTATGTAAATGCACCCACTGTTTGCAAATGTCCCGAGGCACTGGGGCAAAATACAGAGCCCTGAGGAGGGAGAAGTGCTGCCGCCCTGGTTCTCAATGTGCCTCTCTAAAAGTTACCACTTTGAAGTGACTTATTGGGTGGCTGGATTGCCAAGGTATCTTTTTAAACTGCTCCTTTGAACAGCCTATTGCTGAAGGTAGCCATCTTGCAGGCAAGAGGTATTATTATTATTTTTTTTAATAAATCTGGAAGCTGAAGAAACCTATGCAAAGATCATAATCACCTTTTAAAATATTATAAGGGCCTGCCAATCGCAAAATCTTTTCCGAAAACAGAAAACATTAGCCGTGTAAGTGTTCTTTTAATAGGCCAGTAATACTAAAATATGTTGCCAATGTCAAGTGGTATTTTTAGCCCGAGGATCAGGCGCCAGGCTGAGAAATCCAGCTGTGTCTGATCATAACATCTCAACTTTGCAGCGCGCTGCCGGCCGGAGCCGCTCGCCGCAGGGAGCCGGGACCCGCGGCGCGGCCGCGCGCGCTTCGCGCCCGGGACACCACGAAGCTGTTTGTAGCAGCGAGCGACAGAACAGCGTTTGTGAAGGGGGAGCGCTGCAAAATCAAGTGGCGTCCGTTAACGTTGCGGGTTTTTTTCCTTGTCAGGGGTAACAAATTGCCTTGAACTTTCAGTGGAGACAGAGGAAGCAAAGGCTCTGTCCCCTCAGCATGGAGCTCAAGGTAGAGGATTAAAGTTGAGCCGTGTGTTTTTAGCTTATTGGCCCTCTCTGGTTTTTATGCACATAGTTTGACTCCAAGGAGATCTTTATTTAAAAAAAAAAAAAAAAAAAAAGGTCTGCTCTAAATGTTTTCATATGCTTGCTTTGTTTGCAGAAGTAATTAAAATAAAATTCATAACCCTCAGCACAAGAGATTCTCATTTTTTTTCCATGAGAGTACTTCTTGTGACTCCCTCCTGGGCCGGACCTTGCAATCCAAGAGCCAAGGCAGCAAAGTTCTCTTCTGGCTGAAATAATGAACACTTAGGGCAATAAAACCAACTTTATTGCATTTCTTAAAGTAAAAGAAGGAGGAACAGCAAAAATAAAATACATGCAGCCTCCTGAATAAGAGGCCATTGCTGTTTTGGATAAAAGCACAAGAGCAGACTAGAAATAGCCATGGGGCAGTGTAGTTTCAATGAAAGCCTCCACCTTCCAGACACTGCTGGCAACGTGATTAAAGATCTCTCCTGGCTGTAGCACCTGAGAAAGCCTTGGCTACAGTAGCATTACTGATAGCATTAAATTAAGGTGTCCTGGATGGTAGTTTGCAAAGCCCAGTGTTTTTTTGAAACTCGAAATACTTTTAAAATGGGCTCTCCCGTTCTGCACTAGTTTCCTGCTTGGACTGGTCTCTTAAGAGTCTTTCACACTATTTTCTCTCACCTCTTTACCGCCTTCGGATGCGTGCTGGAGAATACTGATGCCATAAAAGGGAGGCGAAGCTGGAGGCTGAGCATAGGTTGCAAACAGCCTCGAAGAGACAATTCTTTTCTAACATAATCAGGATGTTTATGGCAGCATGTACCCTTGGAAATCTGTTTTTAAGGTTATCCAAACCCCTTGCCTCCTATCTTATTTTACAGTACACGGTTAGTACTTTCTATTATAGTTTTAAGAAAACTCTACTTGCCTGTAGGAAGTGGTTTTGGCTATACAGTTGCAGTGGTCTTTCTAACTCTCCGCTGCTGTCGCGGAGAAGCGAGGAGCAAACTTTAACCCTCGGTGCCCAAGCTCTGGCTGTCTGGATCTAGATTAAAAGAGGGACCATCCGAGCTGACTAACCTGCTTGCCTGGCACTTGGTGTTTGGAGAAGGCAACGGGCCCTACTTGGCTTCCCTGCAAGGACACTGATGTTCAAGTACTGCTCTTAAGTCCTAGAGAATTTATAGTATTATAAACAGTGGGATATTATCATAGTTTTATTATGCATTCTTCTGTTTATGATATTAGTTAAATCTCCAAATGCTTTTGGCTGGTAAGATACAGGCCTTTTGCCCGTTATAACTATCAGGCTTTTCCTACTTACATGGCAGCCTGGG